ACAAGACCCACTCGCATGTAATGAACTACTGTAAGTGTAAACTACACAATGATATAGAAAAGAATCCTGGACCAAATAATACACAATATGTAGATCCTAGCAAGACAATAAGAGCACCATATAGCCAAGGTGATGCTATCATGTTTGGACAAAATGCAGGACAACAATGTGTTGCTATGACGAGCCTTAAACAAAGAACTAAGAAAGTATACACAATTTATCGACATAACTTAATTTCCTCTTAATAATAATATTTCGGATTCACTACTACTAATTTTTATCAGCAAGAACCCCGAGTTCACGCAGCCATGCGTCTAGTTAAAAGATATGAAGGACTCAAATAACATCCGAGTGCAAGAGCCAAGTCGAGTTTCTGTTTCGCCTGTTGTAATGCGAATTGATATCGTTGAATAGATTTACTAATATCCTTCTCAACAACAGAAGATTCAAAWARTTTCAAAAAGACTTGTTTCGTCTCTTCGTTGCCGCCGCCGCTGCCGAGAATGCTATTTCGAGTTTGTGCTTGCGAGCCGAGGATGCGAAAGCTTCTATCGATTGATTAATTCTACTCAGACCAGCTTTTGTAAGCCCTTGCGATTTCTCGGGAAAGAACCATTCATACTGATAAGCTGTTTTAGGATCTTTAACATAAACTATTTCAAAATGATTCTGGTGATTGGTAGATTTCCACTYATCAGRTAGTTGTAATTCGCTTTTATACGGCACATAAGACTCTCTCGAATCGCTATTTAATCCGTGATAGTCATACGAATAAACAAGACCAAGACCGTGCGAGTATGGGCTAATATATCTAAAATCATTAGATGTTTTGAATTCTGTTCTTAATTTCTGATAGGCTGCTTTATTATAAAAATTATAGAATTCAGAGAAATGTTTATCTTTAGGCAGCGGGCATTGTAACTCGCCCAAAACACGTCTGATCGTGAATATGACGTGGAATTTATAAAAGGAGCCGACTTGTGAGTCATCGAGCATGTCACGCGTAACGCCGCATCCGGCTGTGGAACACCAGACTGCGAAATTTAATGCTTGAGACCAATAGGATAAATTAGGAGCATCTAGCCATCTTTGCGCCTCTTTCGCCGTTTTGAAAGTCATAAGASTRTTKGTGAATATGTTTCTAAAAGAAAAGTTAGTTTTCTGTTTAGGCGTGATGTAAATATCAAAGGAATAATAATTTAATTTGTCGGGATTTGAATCCCACGGCATTATGCTATACTCGGCGTGACCATTAAATTTATATTTTTGGGGGAATCCCTCAAGCTGTTCGGTGGCTTCTTTATAGGCTTTTCGATCGTCGGTTACTAGAAAATCCTGGATATTCTCAGGTTTCCAGCTATTACCAGGGAAGCGGTATAAAGTTTTGACTAGATTCCCATTCTTGTCAAAGGGGTCATACTCATCGCCGTTGAAATTAAAAACAACATTGCCGTTGTCATTAGAGAATCTAAATCGAGAATAATAGGGGTATTTCTTAATAAATTCTGAAAACTTCATTCTTTATAATACCCTAATTTATAAATATATCCATAAGGAGTTCTTTCAAAGGATAAAATTACTTGTTTAGACTTTGAACGAGTTCTTTCTTTATTTCCTCHCTCAGCTTGGCCATGTCGATAGGCACTGCTTTCCACTTGTATGTAAACTTTACCATCTTTAACAGATAACTTTACGTCATCAAAGTTGAAGTTGGGGTATAATTCCAAAAGACGTTCTTCTGCTTCTTCGATAGGATTGATATTTTCTTGTTGCAAGTACTCCGGCAAACTAGCGTTGGGATATTTTGTTTTAAAATAATTATTTAAATGATCAGTAAGGCGGGTCATAACACCATCATACACACGATCGGCAAACGGTTTAATTCTTGATAACCAAGCTTCTTGCGTTTCATCATCACGTTTAAAAAGATAATCTAATTCATCATTATTAAT